AAAAAGCGGACGCCCCCCCCCCCCCCCCCCCCCCCAAGCTCTGAGGGGTGTATCTCTGGTAGAGGTGGCTGTGCAAGGCTGTTTCACAAGAGTGGAGGTAAGGAAGGGCAGCACTGCCCCTGCCTGCTCAAAGCACTCATTCCCTCCCCTTGGCCAGGGCACACAGCCATCACAGCTCCATCATGTTTGAGCAGGATGTTGGACACAGGACACTACCCAGTGCCCTGCTCAGAAACAGAGTAAAGAAACATGCTGAAAGGGGGAAAAAAGAAGGCCATGCCAGTGATGCAAGAGCCAGAAGACTTCACAGTTCAGCAAGAGGCTTACAGGGTGCTGACACACTTGATGTGCCAGAAAGAAAGTAGATGGGTGTGTGACAGCCTCGTATCATGGATGGTGTAGGGATGACAAAACTGCACTTGTGGGCAAAGGTGACATTAAGCCTCTGCTGCTCAGAGGAGGAAGCAGGAGCAAAGACTCCTGCTCACTTCCAAGAAGGTGCAGAGGCAAGGAAAAAAAAAGTTGTTTGGAAATTCAGTATAATTTTCAGTTTGGCTTTTATTTTCATTGACTTCAACAACAAGGTGTTCCAAAACACACACAGGTCTTGGTGCAGGCAACACTGTCATTGCTACAAGCATTGGCAGATTCTCAGCTCAATTAACCCATACGCTTTGATGTATCAAAACAAAAACAAAACAAAAATCACAGCTCTACAGGGAGGGTAAAAGCTACAGCAGTTGAAACTCACATGAAGATTCCAGTTATACAGAAGTGCGGTCCATAGTGGTATACAGTAGAAAGGTTTTCACAGCATATATTTTAATCATTAGTGATGCAGCAGAAAAGCTCCATCTCACTGCTGAATTGAAAAGCGGATACTGAAGTTCTTGCACCCAGACTCTGGGTACAGCATTAACCTTTATAGTCAGAAGCTTCCTAGTTCCTAAAACGATGGTATTTTTGCATCAATATTCGAACAATACTGAACCAGCTCAGAATAATTACACAATGGAGATGCAAAACCTTGGAGGTGAGAAGTGCATAGCCTAATTCTCCTCCAGGAACCTGCAAAGTACCTGCACTAACACTTTTCCCACACTAACACTGCCCCGCTGATTCAATTCTTGCATTGAGTCAAGAGCAGGATGACTCCTTTTGTAGCATATAGGAGTTAAAAAAAAAGACATAGTAAGTTTTTACACTAAGCATGTTAAATACTTTGAAATTTAGGACACTGCTCTTTGAAGTGTTACAAAATACAATGATAAAACAGGCTTTTGGTACCTGCTCCCTCCCCCCTCAGCTGCAAACTCACACAGGAATCTCAGTATGAAAAATACAAATATATTTGTCCAGTGATGAGTCATTTGTTACAAGGTATACTGTAAGCATTCTGCATAAAAATAATAATAAAAAAAAAAACAGAAAAACAAACAACATTTTATTGTGGTTCTGTCAGACCCGGTAGCCCAAGAAGAAATAAAAATTGGCATGTTACGCTGTAGGAAACAAAAATTGCATATACAAAAAAATATTTATATACACACACTTTACATGGTAACCATCTTGCATTACTATTTAAAGCTATTCAAAATAGGCTTGCACAGTTACCAAAAGGCAGTCTTTGAATGCAACGCAGACCTGGCACAACAGATGGAGGAGGATGATAACAGTATTGGACTTAAATGAAATACATGGCACACAGCAGGGCCCAGGAAACAGCCACTGCACTGAAGAAAGTTTATTTGGTTATGGCAAGGTAGGATGACAAGTCACTTAAACTGCTTTTTTCCATCTCTCCCCAGCCAAAAAAAAAAAGTCATCCTTACTGTTAAAAAGAGCAAGCCAACTTGGAAGCAGCTGTGCTGAGATGAGCTCCTCAGTTGAGGTTTGTTTTGTACACGTTAGTCTCACTACCTTGGCCAATACAAATGTGAAAACACACACTTTGTTCAGTTACTTGTCCACAGCATCACTGGCAGTCAGAGGAAATGCCTCAGAGCACAGCTGCTGTAGAACCAATAAAGAAAAAAAAACAGAGAAACATTAATTTCTCATGTAAACACAACTTTTTGCAGTAGCAACACTCATAATACCAGGAACTGGTCCTTGTTCCAAGACAGATGGAATTTTCTTTCTTTTTTTACTCTCCATATCTAGTTGCTCATCACTCAGTCTATAGTCACCAACAACAAACCACAACAGGCTCCAGCCTATTACAGATATATCTAAAGATGGTTCTACTTTACTTGGCAGGAAACCAATCTAGCATGGCCTAAATAAAAGACTGTCTGGGTTTAGGATAGCTGAAGCCCTACAAATCAGTGTGCAGTTGGTCCTCTGTTCAACTGGAGGCTAGGCAGGCAAATCCTTATGCTAAACTAACCAGGCTGCATAGGTGGCAAAGCCTAATTCTCTAGTTTAAATGTCAGTAGTAGTCCAGAAGGACCCAATGTTGGGTGGGGGGCAGAATTCAAGAGCAACCGATGGCTGGATTACGTATTTACGTCCTGAAACAAGAAAACCAGGACATACACACAAATGCAAGTTGAAAACAAGAAGAGACAGCAGGTTAGTTTGTCCCAAAGGCGAGGGAGAAAAGAAAAAGTGGTTTGCAGGTGTCTGTAAGCGCTGGCCTGCCCAGCAAAGTGCACGTGCTGTCTCCGCTGGAGAATATTACACATGAACAGAGCACTCAGCTCCGTGGGAAGAGGCTGTTTAAGTGCAACGTTCAGCAGACCGATACCCATTTATTTTTGGATGAACTGCTAGTTCAGGGTCTGGTGCCTTGGTGGTTCTGTTTGCATTTGCTTTTGGGGATGGGGTTGGTTTGTTGGGTTTGGTTTGGGGCATTTTTTTTTTTTTTTTCTTTTTAAAAATTGAATCGAACCTTCCTGCTTTTCAAAGTGGGATTGCTGGATAAGAGACAAGTTTCCAGGTCAGGATGTCCACAAGGTGTGTGAGGATTCAGAAGTCAAGAAAAGAAGCCCTCTCCCCAAAGGAAAACATAAAATAAGAACAACGCCTTCTTGAGAAGGTCAACGGCTTTGAAGGAAACACCACCCGCCTTCCCCCTTCACTCTTCCCCTTGCAAGAGCTGGGGTGGAGGTCGCAGTCCAGGAGTATGACCTAGACAGCGTCAAGGGCAAAACCTAGCATGAGGGAGCAAGAAGGTTCCCCCTGCCCTTTGTCCAGGGGTGCAGTACCAAGCAGAAGGAAGACAAACGAAGGGCTGAGCAGTTTGCGGCCGAGGCGGGGTGGAGCGGGGTTCACGGGGCTCACTCCCCTTCCTCCTTGATGCGTTGCTGTTTGTTGCGCCGGGCATCCATGTCGAAGTTGAAGTCGTTCCACTCGTCACGGGGCGGGAAGGAAATGGTCTGCCGGAGCGTGAAGCGGACGGCGTCGATGACCCGCTCCCCCCGCGTCTCGCTGGAGCCCACGCTGACGGTGGAGGCACCGCTGGGGGTGCGCAGGAGGTGGGGAGGGGAGGAGAAGTCATGGAGCTGCCGGTGGTCCAGGATACCCTTCCAGATGGCATGGCGGAACTGCTCCGGGATCTTGAGGCTCACCAGATCCTGCAAGGCAAGACAGGGGCCTTAAGAGAGCGATCCCTGGGCAAGAAGCAGCCCCCGGGCCTCCCTGCGAGTACCTATTAACTGACAAAGCTGCTAGAATCCAGGTGGCCATGATGCACTGCAGAAGACAAACCACTAATCCTGAGGGTGGTGGCTCACTTCTGGACAAGCATGTGTAGCCAGAAGGCAGCAAGGACTAATGACACAAGGTCAGTTTTGAAGTTACCCAAAAATACACATTCATGCATAAGGTACAGTGACCTAAAGGTAGGTGTTGAGCCGCACTGCAAGGCCTCCAAGACAACCTCAGGGAGATCTGCTGGCTTTCTGCAGTGGGGGATGCTGGGCCGCAGAATTTCAATGGCTTTGCAAACTTCCGTGTTTATTTCAAAGCCTGAAAAAGGATTTTAGAATCCCAGTCTGAGCTCCAGTATTTGAAGGTCTTGGTCTGGCTCTGTAGGAGCTGCTTTAATTACTTGAACATATCCTAAATTTAAGGAGACATAACGTTGTAAAACCCAGACTTCGAAGGCCCATCATCTCTAGTGCACTACCTGAGGGTAGCATTACCTAAACCCTGGGAAGTGTCATACCAGGTTCTGAAAAAATTAACAACGAGCTTTGGTTAATTTGGGTCAGCTTTTCTAATTAGAGCAGCAATAGAAGGAAGGCAGCCCATGCTAGGAAGCAAGAGAGCCAGAGCCTTGCCCTCTCAGGGCAAAAACACGGGACAGCCAGCTCCAAGGACAGCAATGGCACCAGAGAGGACACAGCAACCTTGCAGCAAGAGCCATGCAAGAGGAAAAAATCCAGCTGGGCTGAGATGCCAGTGGCAAGGGAAGATTGTTAAGGTAAGGCCAGAAAACAGAAGCAGGGAGGGAAAAAATACAGACCGCTTCTGGACAGCCTACTTGGCTGCAGGCGAGTGAAGTGTTTCAGGGAGGTGAAAACTGAAACCAAGCCTTGCAGAATTAACAGTCCTGTGGGCTGGGGCCACTCTGAGGGCTAAAATAGCCAGTGGTGGGGAAGAGGCGGCACTCTTTCTATGTGCCAGCCAGGCAGTTACAATGCTGGCCCCAAGTCCAGCCTCTCTTTACCTCACAGTAAGTCTTCTCTGTGTGCAACAGCCTTTATCAAACTATTCGTATAAAAATATACTGAGTATGGATTTCTGAGCTGTTCCTACAGCAGGGCCAAGAGTGCAAACAAAGGAAATGGTGAGGAGTTACTTACATCCATGGAGTAATGCTCAATCTGATAGATGGTGGTCAGCCCCTGGGTCGTGAAATAATCCACACAGGATGAGCAGCCCAACCTCGCTAAGAAGCTGCAGAGGAGGAAGGAAGGAAGGAGAGAGAAAAAAGGATCACCCTGGCTGCAACAGCCCAAACCACAGAAAAACCAAACACTAAGCCAACCTGCAGCAACAGGAAACAAAGCTTTCACCCTTAGCTTGACCTTCTCCAAGACATCTCAGGCCAGCAAGCCACATCACTGCCACATCAAACAAATGAGGGTGTCTTTCAGCTCAGCACCTAGCAGACAACCCTCATGGCAGCACCTTGCCTTAGTCAAGAGCTGATGCTACACAGCCTGGATCTTGGGGCAGGAAGGCTCATGTGGATCCTCCTGGCAGATCAACCTTCACCTAGAAGGTTGCCGAGCCCGTGGCAGCCTGCTGCACAGAAGGCCTCAGCAAGACATCTGAGCTGGGGCTCAGACACATCACGCACACAAAGTACTTCAAACTAGCACATTCCTTCCTAAGCAGAAAGGATTCCTCCTTTATGGGCAGTATCTTTCAACTTGTTTGACCTCATGGAGGGCAGAAGAGCTTCTGACCCAGCCATGCATCGAGTGGCAAAAGGGGAACAAAAAGACAAAAAAAAAAAAAAAATTAAAAAAGTATTTGCAAAACTGCCTGGCTCCCTCAGCTCCACCAGTCCAACAGGTACCGCATCCTTCAGCTTTCTTGCAGTCCTAACATCCCTGTTTCTCTTAGGTGCTCAGAGGTGGGGGGTTTGAGGCTTGGTGCCCAGAGGGTGCCAGCCCCGGGATCGCCAAGGCCCGCTGGGATCCAGTGCTCCAAGTGAACGGGGCAAGAAACCCAGCAGGACCCTTCAGGCTCCCAGCCCGTGGCCAGCACTCCCTCGGGTGGGAAGCATGCACCGGGCAGCCTGCTCCCGCTCACCTGACGATGCTGCAGTCTGTGGGGTATGGAGGAGGGGGGGTGCAGTGGGATGTTGAAGGCATGGAGAGGGGGGGAGGCAGCGCCTGCGTGGGGCTGAGGCCATTCATGTCGCCGGTCATGGCCATGTGGGTGCCCATCATGGGAACTGGAGGAGAGAAGAAGGAGGAGCACATTGTTACCCAGGCATCCCCAGACCCCCGCTTCGCCCCCAGCACGGCACCGAAGGACAACAGCTACGGCTGGAGCAGCCTCAAACCCCCTGCAAAGCCCAGCGTGGAGAGCACTCATGGGGAATTTCAGGCAAGGCTGCAATGACCGCACAAGGAGCAGATGACAGAGTCTTTTCAGGAGCTCTTCCCTCGCTGAAGCAGCTGTCAGCAGCGGTGCCACTGCGTCACTTTCCCTCACAAACAAACTCGGTAGAAACCTAAGCAAGCCTCATCTCAGCTTTCTCTGCTGCAGGAGAGGAGTGGGACAGAGCCAGCAGAGTAACCCAATACAGAAGCCAAACAGCTTTGTTTTCAGAGACACCGAGAGCACCCGAAGGGGATCAGCAACAGGTGTGGGCAAGAGTCCAGCACTTTGGAAATTTAAAGAAAAAAAAAAAAACACCAACAACCAGCCCCCAGAACCATGTCTGTCATCCTGGATTTACAGGGCTGCTGGGCACTCTTCAGCAGCCAGGATGAAGCTGATTACAGAGCTGGGAGATGTGGATATTTCCTTTGAAGCTAAGAAGTGTCTTAATTGAACCAAGGGGGTAAAAAAAAAAAAAAATTGCCAACATTTGCATCTCTTCTGCTGGGAAAGGAAGAAGAAACAAGTCTTGAAAGACAGATGACAGCGCAGTTAGCCAGATCTGCAGCCAGAAGTAGCTTCTGTTCACCCCTGTGATGCTCAGAGCAGGATGCGGAAGCCTTGCCCCGTGGCACAGCAGTGAGCAATATTTGGCTCTGCAGGTTGCCAGAGAATGGCTCCAGGCTCCCCAGCCTAATACTAGTCACTGGGCAATGCCAAGTCTCCTTGCCCAGACTAGCAGGGAGCACGCATGGAACAGGAGGAGGAGTGAGGGTTTCTTACTGTTGGTTCCCATGCCGTCAGGGATGGTGGTAGGGGTCAGGGCGTTGCGCTGCTGGGGGTTAATTAGCTGGCTGACCGAGGGCAGCTTGTTCATGCTGTTCATTTTGCTGAGCGGTGGAGAGTTGGAGCCGTAGGATGACTGTGACTGCATGGAGGTCCTGTAAACCAAAGAGACATTAGAACAGGAATCACAGCAGCTGGTTGTTAAGAGTGCGCATCCAAGGGGTTAGGTTTTCCATTTGTGGCTGCTGCTAGTGAAAATCACTGACACCATGGGAGCATCACAAATAAAAATTGAAGAGAGAGTCCAACAGTAGATAAGAAGTTGCCCAGCTAGTTTGGCATTTAAAAAACAAATGGTGAAACACCGACTAAGGAAAGCTTCACTTTCAGTTCAAGTTTTTATTTAAGGAAAAGTTTCTATGCAAGTTTTTCAGCTGAAAACAACATACATAAAGCCAGCGAACAGCTGCCAAAAACTTAAGATTATTTTTAAAGTTAAGTTCTCCTTGTGGTTAAAAACTGTGTTCATAAGAATAAGAACTGAAGAAACCATCTCAAACCATCCTAACTATGCCTAAAACTTGACTGCAGAGATAATTTTCAGATCAGGACACATTTATCACCTTGATTTCTCAAAAACTCCCTGTTATTCACATAGTTAGGTTGTTACCCATAATACATATATATAAGGTGTATATGTAACAGCCACAGGCTCTTAGCTGAAGACATACTCCATAAACCTTGGGGACCACTACTGAAGTTGTCAGAGCTGCCTGAGATGCTGACATCCAGCTTTGCTGGTGTTAAGAACAACCTGGTATCCAAACCCCGCAGGCTGCTTGCAAAGAGTATCAGATTCCTGCCACCACTTGACAACAGCACTACCCTCCCTCAAGTCCAGACAACCCCAAACTCTACCCAGCATATCGACAGAGCAAGCCAGAGAGGCTTGCAGGCCAGCTCCCCCTGCCCAGCCCCGCCGGTCCCAGCTGCAATCCCGCCTTGTAAGCGATCCCGAGCGGGAAGTCCAGATTGCTTCTGAACGGCAGCCCAGTTCCCAGATAGAGTGACAGCTGTGGCATCCCATCTGGAGTGGGGTCTTATCTGGGATATGCAGAAAATGATCATTAAAGTGGGTCCAACAGCACAATTGGTAGAGCACTGCCATGCCACAAGAGAGCAGGTTTTTCCTCTCTCTCACACCCAGGGCATTTGCAAGACTGGGTAAAGGCACTGAGGATAGGCGCACGCTCCCCTAACACAATGTACACACACATCATGGTGACCTATGTGCAAGGGCACATTCCCATCTTATTTCCCCATTGGGAAATTTATTTGTCTGGGTATAACTGGTTACACCAATTCATGGGAACTGGCTTTTCCTTCTATGCAAAAAGAATAGTTATTACTTCAAATAAGCAAAGTGTAAAGGAAAGAAAATGCTTATTCTTAGATAATTTATTAAAACCTTCAGCACTCAAGGTCAAGTTTCATACAATTACATTGTCTACAGCTTCCTGCATTTTTAAGACTTGCAGTGTTGGGTGGAGAAAACATCTATGCTAACAGGCTAGAGTATCTAAGGCCCTGAAGAAATGTTACTTCATTACACAATTACAGGAGGCGCAGAAAGAAGGGTGTGAAGTGTCCTTTGGCAGTGAAGATGCAGGACAAGATCCAGCAAACTTCATAGGCTCAGGAAGTGGAAAGCGCAAGAAGGTTCACAAATTAACATTAACGATGGTAGTAGCTCCCAAGGGGAAGTGAAATTGAGCCATAAAGTTCAGACCAGACTTTTCAGGGTGAAGAGAATGATTCAGATCTGAGGTTTCAATTCACCAATTATAAAAGTTGACGCTAGCCATGAAATTCAAGTCAGGTTGACGCCACCCTTAACTTGAAAGGCTTCTGGATTTACGACCAAAATGATGTTTCTACTTTACAGGTCCAGGTACCTATCCTAACTGAGCTTCAGCTGAAATTGATACACATCTGAGTAGTCTTGTAGGACACAGTCTGCACAATATGCAAGTGAGGAGGTCACCACATACACAGTGAAATTCCAAATCAAGCCAACAAAGACTTCCCAAAAATGTTTTAGGTGCATTGTTTAAACTCAAGACAGATTTTATGCAGAGAGCTCATGACTAGAAATTATTCTATTTAAAAAAAAGATGCCTACTGCTACAAAACAAGATTCTCCAAGAAGGTCACTGGGTGGGACTAGATTTGCCCTCTCCTCCACCACCAATGGTCTCAAGCTAGTTAGGAGACTACAAAATCCACTTTGTGGATTAAAAAAAAAAAGGAGCAAATACAAACCAACTTAAAGAACCCTACACTGTAGAAAGCAAATGCATACTTTCACATACAGCTTAATGACTTCATTCATACTCATAAGAATCAAGATTAGGACTAATCAAGCTCAAGTGACTAAATCAGGAAACAAAAGCATTTTTCTTCATACCCATGCCCATTTCAACTAAACTATTCCATCATGTGAGCAGACATAAAAAGCCTAGAGAAAGCCAAAGAAAAGTCCCAAGATAAACGAAGATGCAAAATTTTATTGAAAATTAATATCACACATCAATATAGCAACAGCCTCAGGAGCACAGGAAAATATTTTTGGTATTAAACACATGGACTACATGGTGTTTGAGGATTCATTTAAAATAGATTGCTTTTTTCTCAAATTTTTTTTTAACAGTTACTATAAGAACATCATGCACAGTGATTTTTCATTAAATTTATACTTAGTATGTCTCAAGAAAGGTTAGAAGTGGAAGCATTAACATTTCTTTGATATTAATGCCAATGAAATACATTTTAATATCAAGGTATAAGGACTTCAATTAAAAGGCTATTATACTCCCTGGAACAGTCTGATAGGAAAGGCACTGAGTCACATTCTGCAACTGATTTTTTTTTCTCTTCAAGAGGCTACATAATTCTTTAGCCAATAACATCTATAGTTCAGCAATCTCCTATGAGGACATTTGCCTCTCATGCTTCAAGGCATATGCTGATCCCTTCAAGAGGTCAGGTAGGAACTTTCTTCTCCCACATATGAAGCACAGTTCAGTTCACAGGTTGCCTTCTATAATTCTGTGCTTTTCCAGCTCTCTGGATATCTGCCCTTCACCAGAGGTAGGAAACTGCTTGGATAGACCAATTACCTGATTCAGTAGACAAGTCCCAGAGTCCTCATTGACATTAGATAAGCACACTGTCATGTAAGCAGCCTTAATGCAAATGACATCAAAGGTACATTAAGTGCAAGAATAGGGCAGCCCAGGCAGAGAGTGTAAGACTTCACCCAAGCCACTGTGCCTACAGTTCATTATCCCTGAAGACCTAATCACAATGCAGAGAGACCCAAGTGGAAGCAAAACTGTCCAGTTCTGAGCCTACCTTTTCTTACTGTAGCCACAGCAAGCACATTAAGCACATTACATTCCAAGTTCACACATGGTCATGGTGCCCGTGGCAACAATTTTTCAAGTAAAGTTGCCCACTTGGCTGCGTTATGTTGATGTAGTCTAGTAACGGCACAGAAGTGCCACAGGCATTGCTCGGATGCACTCATCCACTTTCAGGCCCATGAAGTGGGACACTGAAAAGCAGAGAGATTCCCTTGCTCTCCAGGTCTCAAACAGCTGCTGCTCTAAAGCAAGCAGTAGTGCATCTTTTCAACCACAGAAGTGGTTTCTAGGCTTTGTAACCAGCTGGGAGCATGGAAAGGAGAATCATTAAGCAGACAGCAACTACAGCACAGGGACAAGGGTGGCAATAATGACTCCTCTTAGATTTCAGATATAGGAACCTCCCAAGGCAGGCAGTGGATACAATCTGCTTTCCAGGGAATGAAGCTATCATCCAGGGAGTGTATATCCATGAACTAGTTGATGTAGACTGATTCAAGTGACTGATAAGGCCAAATTAGTCCACTTTGTTATTCCTTGAAAGGAAAAAGCTTACTTTTCTGAAGCCCCAGAGATGATGAAGAAGCAATCAAAAGACAGTGGGGAAAAAGATTTCTTCTTTTATCTGCAGAAGACAGATTATGAAGCAAGTCCAGTTGCTTCTAGCTGTAGATTGATTAAAAAAAAACCAAATTGATTATAAAAAGCACCTTCTCGTATAACCACCTTATAAGTAGCGAGCAAACCAAGTCACCATTAAGACCAGTTTCACAATAAGCCTCTTATAGGTAAGGATGACAAATGAGAAAGCCTTTCCAGAGGACAGTGGGATCCAGATAATTTACATTCTTGTTTAGAGGAAGCCCCAGGTGCTGTATTGCCCACCATGGTACAAGAAATTTCCTAGAGGTCGGACCAGATGATGAACTGGAGCATGAGCTGGAATCTCCTGGAGTGGGCTGTGGATGTCTTGTATCTTCTGGTGGTCTGCCTCCTCAAACTTGGTGGTGGACAGGTCTTGGAGCAGAGCTCTAGATACAGATTAGTATGTCCCTGTTGCAATATTTTTGAACTGCCATTCACAAACAGGCAAGTCCAAGGTATCCAGGTATTAACCTTTGTTGGAAGGACAGTGTGACAGTGCTTGGCACAATCCTGTGTCTAGGCTGTGTTCGCAGTTCAGATTCTCACCTCTCACAGGAAAAGGAACAGCATTGCCATTCTTCTTCCAGATGAAAAGGCACAGAGCATTAGTTATCTGCTTTGTGATCTCAAAGTACTTCCTGAAGCTTCCAGGCAAAGTAAAGAGGCACTTGCTTTGTTTAGCTTTACACAAGGAACAATGGTAGAGCTACAATTGTATGAAACGGTCACTGCTAGTGTTTAATTACTTATTGTTTATACTTAATCACAATTTTTTGGGGGGGTCTCATCAGCCCTCCTCCACGCTGATATGGTAGAACAAGTATTGCTAAGACAATGAAGGAGATACCCAGAGATGGAATATGGCTTTCAAAGGAGATGTTAGTACTAGTCATTGCCTGCTCAGATCACAACTGCTGCCTGGAAGTGGATGATGTGATGTTCAGAGATAACAGTCTTCTCCCACTGCATCAGGCTTTTTTTCCTTGGTGGGTGGCCAGGAGGCCTGCTCTGCATTTGAGAACCATCTTCTCTTCAGGCTGTGCCTAACTACAAGCGTGTCAGAGCCAGGTAATGCACCCGCCTCA